AGACTCCCCAGTAATGAAGTTGCTGACGACCACATCAGCTATAAAACCCCCATATAGCGCTCAATAAAAAGCCATAATTACCTCTCTTAATTGTAATTTGATCTCTGTAATTTAATCTAAACTTAGAATACTAAATATATTATATTGTACATGTTTATATTATAGATGTCGTAATAAACCTGACTTCTTTATTTATTGTGTTTTTCATGTGGGTGAGGTAGACATCTGGGACATTATTTCTGAGATAAGGTTTAGACGTAGGAGACTCACTGCTCAGATGCTCATAAACGTCACATAATTTTCTCTCTACATAATTGTTTTTCTCAGTGTCCTGTTTTGTCTTCTTTAGTTAACGTACAGGAAAATTTTTTTTTAATGAAACGTGTGAAAACTTTTGAGCTAGATTAACAATTGGAAATTTTGAGCTAAGATTAACACGTGAAAAGTTTGAACTATGATTAACAATTGGAAACTTTGAGCTGAGATTAACACGTGAAAACTTTGATGACTTGACAGGTGATACACTCAGGTAGCCAAAGTGTCTTCTTGTGGAAAACGTATTTTTACCTGTGCTGTATTAATACTTGTACCTGTAATTTTACCTGTAGATGTAATTTGATCTGTATTTTGTAGCATTTCTTGTACCTGTATATTTTACCTGTACTTATACTATAATATTTTTTTTTAATAATTTATATTTATAGATTTAAGAAAATAATTAGAGAGATAATGGAGTTAATTATCTAATTTGTAATATTAACGGAAAAAAATTACAATTATATCCAATGAAAAACTTTTTATTCAGGTTCATTACAAGTTTGATCTTAAGTGAATTGTGTAAAAATAGAAGACCAGCATGCGCGACTTTTTGTTGAATAATAATAATAATAATATATATAATATATAATAATAAAATAATAATAATAATAATAATAATAATAATAATAATATAATAATAATAATAATAATAATAATACAGTAATATATTAATAAATACAAATAATCACTTGATTAACATCATAAATTAATAATATACAATACATTATTTGGAATAGTAATTAATAAATGTTAAATGTAATACAATAGATGACCTATAGAAAGGTTTAAAGGTAGGAAGGTTCAAACACAGGTCAGGAAGGTTCAAACACAGGTGGGAAGGTTCAAACATACCAGAAAGGTTTCAAACATTGGGCAAGGATGGTTCAAACACAGGTCAGAAGGTTCAAACACAGGTCAGGAAGGTTCAAACACCAGAAAGGTTCAAACATTGGGCAGGGGTTCAAACACAGGTCAGGAAGGTTCAAACACAGGTCCAAGAAGGTTAAACACAGGTCAGAAGGTTCCACAGGTCAAGGAAAGGTTCAACATAGAAAGGTTCAATTGGGCAGGATGGTTTCCAAACACAGGTCAGAAAGGTTCAAACACAGGTCAGGAAGGTTCAAACATACCAGAACAGGTTCAAACATAGGGCAGGATGGTTTACCAGAAAGGATTCCAAACACAGGTCAGGAAGGTTCGAACACAGGTCAGGGAAGGTTCAAACACAGGTAAAAAGGTTAATACCAGGAAGGTTCAAACACAGGTAAAAGGTTAACAATACCAGGAAGGTTAAACACAGGTCAAGACATACCAGGAAGGTTCAAGCACAGATCAGGAGGTTCAAACATGCCCCAGAAAGGTTCAAACACATGGCAAGAAGGTTCAAACCCAGGTCAATAAGGTTCAAACATAACAGAAAGGTTCAATACATGGCAGGGAGGTTCAAACACAGGGCAGGATAAACAAACACAGGTCAGTAAGGTTCAAACAGGCCAGAAGGTTCAAAACACATGGAAGGAAGGTTACCAGGGCAGGCTGGTTCAACATACCAGAAAGGTTCAAACATAGGTCAAAAAGGTTCAAACATAGGTCAGAGTTCAAACCTAGGTCAACAAGGTTCAAACACAGGGCAAGAAGGTTCAAACACAGGTCAGTAGGTTCAAACATGCCGAAAGGTTCAAACACATGGCAGGAAGGTTCAAACGCCTAAGTCAGTAAGGTTCAACATACCAGAATGGTTCAAACCACATGGCAGGAAGGTTCAAACGCAGTTCAGTAAGGTTCAATCATGCCACAAAGGTTAAAAACACATGTCAGGAAGGTTCAAACATACAAGAAAAAGGTTCAAACACCATGACAGGAAGGTTAAAACACAGATTCAAAAGGTTCAAACAAAGGTCAGGAAGGTTCAAACACAGGTCAGTAGGTTAAAAACCACAGGTCAGTTAGGTTCAAACATAGGTCAGTAAGGTTCAAACGTACAGAAAGGTTTCAAACATATGACCGGAAGGTTCAAGCACCTGAGTAAGAAAGGTTCAAACACAGGTTGGAAGGTTCAAACACAGGTCAGTAAGTTTCAAACACAGGTCAGTAAGGTTCAAACACAGGGTTCAAACACAGGTCGTGGGGTTCAAACACAGGTCAGTAAGGTTCAAACATACCAGAAAGGTTCAAACACAGGTCAGTAAGGTTCAAACATAGGTCCAGTAAGGTTCAAACGTACCAGGGTTCAAACATATGACCAGAGGTTCCAAACACAAGTGAGGAACGTTTAAACACAGGTTAGAAGGTTCAAACCAGGTCAGTAAGGTTCAAAACATACCAGAAGGTTCAAACTCACTAGCAGGAAGGTTCAAACTGTGACAGCCACATTGAAATATTACTCAGTTAATTACAGGAGAATATTAAAAGACAGACAGACAGACAGACAGACAGACAGGGCTCACTGACTCAGTCACTCGCTCATTGACTCACTCACTCCCTAACAGCTCACTCACTCCCTCACTGACTCACTCCCCTCCTCACTGACTCACTCCCTCCCCACTGACTCACTCCTCACACTTGATTCCTCCCTTCCCACTGACCCTACCCTCCCTCACTGGCTTCCATTCACCGCCTCCCGCAAGTGCCACTCCACTCCCTGCTGACTCCTCCCTCCCTCCTGACTACTCACTCCCTGACTCCTCCACCCCTCACTGACTCTACTCTTTCACTGACTCACTCCCTCCCTCACTGACTCACTCCTTCCTCACTGATCCACTCCTTCCCTCACTGCTCTCCTCCTCCCTTATGACTCCTCCCTCCCTCAGTGACTCACTCACTCCCTGCCTCACTCCCTCCCCTCACTGACTCATTCACCCCCTCCCTCACTGACTCACTCACTCCCTCCCTCACTGACTCCCTCCCTCCTCACACAGCTCCCTCCCCTCCCTTACTGACACACTCCTCACTCCCTCACTGACTCCTCCCTCCCTCACTGACTCCACTCCCCTCACTGACTTTCCTCTCCCTCTCCTCCCCTCCCTCACTGACTCCTCCCTCACCACTCCCACTCCTCCCTCACTCCTTCCCTCACTGACTCCGCCCCCCGCTCACTGACTCCCCTCACTGACTCCTCTCCCTCACTCCCTCCCCTCACTGACTCACTCCCCTCCCTCACTGACTCCTTCTCCCCCTTACTGCTCACTCACTCCCTCAATGACTCACTCCTCCCCTGACTCACTCCCCTCCCCTCACTGACTCACTCCCTCCCTCACTGACTCACCCCCTCACTGACACCCCCCCTCACTGACAATCTCACTAATGTACTAAAATATAAATTAATCATCTTTATGTTATTCTCATATATATATTTCCAGCCCTTTATCGCTGGTGTTAACTCTAATTATCAACGTACAGGAAATTGTATTGTTCGTTATATACTATTTCCAACCTGTTCATCTGTATATACTATTTTATCCTTCATTTATATTATATTTCCATACTATATTTATATACTATTTCCATCTTATATTATATTTAATACTGTTATATACTACTATACCATCACCTGTTATATACTATTACCATACCTGTTATATACTATTTCCATCTATAACCTCACTATTACTACATCTTTTCATTCATATACTATTACCATCACCTGTTATATACTATTACCATCACCGTTATATACTATTACCATCACCTGTTATATAATATTTCCATCACCTGTTATATACTATTTCCATCACCTGTTATATACTATTACCATCACCTGTTATATACTATTTCATATACCTGTTATATACTATTTCCATCACCTGTTATATACTATTACCATCACCTGTTATATACTATTACCATCACCTGTTTATATACTATTACCATCACCTGTTATATACTATTTCCATCACCTGTTATATTATATTTCCATCACCTGTTATATACTATTTCCATCACCTGTTATATACTAATTACCATCACCTGTTATATACTTTTCATCACCTTTATATACTATTTCATACTGTTATATACTATTACCATCACCTGTTATATACTATTACCATCACCTGTACGATCACCTGTTATATTATATTTCCATCATATTATTATTATTTTATCTTATCTTATATTCATGTATTATATTACTTTTTATTTCATTCACACACCTTTAATGCTGTCTGGCCAGGTGTGTGGTTAAGTGTGGCCAGGTGTGTGGTTGAGTGTGGCCAGGTGTGTATTTGAGGCCAGGTGTGTGATTGAGGTGTGGCCAGGTGTGTGGTTGAGTGTACAGGTGTGTGGTTGAGTGTGGCCAGGTGTGTGGTTGAGGGCTAGTGTGTGGGTTGAGGGCCAGTGTGTGGTTGAGTGTGGCCAGGTGTGGGTTGGAGTGTGGCCAGGTGAGTGATTGAGGCAGGTGTGTGATTGAGTGTGGCCAGGTGTGTTAACCTACAGGATATTGTTTCTGTTTTAACACAGGTGAAGGAAATATCCTTCCCAAATTACCAACACCTGTGTCATTATTACCTGTTGTTATTATTATTATTATTATTATTGTTTTTATTATCATTTATGTACCACTGTAAGCTGTGTGTCACTGTAATCACCTACCACTGTAACTGTGTCATTGTAAGTATGCAACAAAACACTGTATCCATTTGGTATGTGTATGTGTGTGTGTGTGTAATGACTGTATATATATA